AACAAGGCTGCCTTCAGATGTCTTCTCAAAGTCAGATAGTGTTATCTCCTTACAAAACTTGATGGGAGGTGTCCCACAGGTGGCATGACTACAGAGAAGAACGAGAGCAAAGCAGAGAGCAATGGCCCGAGATAAAAAATATGAATATCAGAATCTGCAACCTTTCAAGGTAAAGTGTAGAAATCAAATTCTTCTTAATTCAATGGCTTTAGTAGTCCAAAAGGGGACTTCACCGAAATTATCATCCACAAGTACGATTTATTCCCTGAGAAACGTAGAATCATGAAACCATAGAATTGCATAGTGGGAAGGGATTCTAAGGGTTATCTAGTCCAAACCTCTGCAGTGCAGGAATTTATGTTGATATCATCTGGTGTACTTTCCCCCTCAGAATAAATTTAATCTACATTGCATTATTAATGGCCCATCTGTGAGGGCAAAAAAGATTTTTCACAAATATAAAAAGGTAAAGGTACCCCTGCCCGTACGGGCCAGTCCTTGCCAGACTCTAGGTTTGTGTGCCCCATCTCTCCAAGAGGCCGGGGGCAGTGCTGTCCGGAGACACTGTCCGGGTCACGTGGCCCAGCGTGACATCACTGCTCCTGGCGAGCCAGGCCGCAACGGAAACGCCGTTTAACCTTCTGCCAGTAAGCGGTCCCTATTTATCTACTTGCACCCCAGGGAGTGCTTTCAAACTGCCTAGGTTGGGCAGGTGCTGGGAACCGAGCAACGGGAGCGCACCCCGGCCCCGCGGGGATTCGAACCGCCGACCCTTCTGATCGGCAAGCCCTAGGCGCTGAGGCTTTTACCCACAATATATAACAATGGAAACCCAATATCTTCTGGGAGGAGGGTAGATTGTAATGGGTGAAACGTGGGATGAGACAACCTTAAGTTTCCTCATGCCCAGCAAAACTGAAGATACTCCACTATATGCCATCCTAGGTTCATTGTGGCTCAGCAGACTCAGTCCAGGATGTGATATCTTTTTAAATATGGTGTTGTGGGCTTGGGTCGTGGCCTGGTAAGAATTCTGTTCTAAAACCCTTTCAGAGAATTCACATGAGCCAGAAACCCAGCAGAACTTAGACTGGGGGGAAAGGATGGTATCAGTCAAACTCTGTATTAGAGACCTTTTGACCTCCCTCAGACTTGGGCCAATCAGAAATGCTCAATTTCTGAAAGGCGTTCCAGGTAATCTTAAATGGCTTCCTATAGTTTAGATTATTGACCTGTGCTAAACCATACTTGCGAATTTTATGTTTTTAACCCCTTTATGTCTTGTTATGTTCCAATTAGCTCCACCCTTTTCTTCTTGACATTTCATTTAACAACACTGCTGGAGAAACAGTGAGTTTCAATGGTAAAAAGCAAACCGGAGGTGCACTTGACATCATGAACATAGTCACATTCCCAAACAAGTCCTTCCTTCGAGTGAAAGTTGGTCAAGTAGACAATGATGCTCTTGAAGCAAGAAGATTTGACATTCATGAGGACAAGATTAAATGGCACAAAGGTTTTAACCAGGTATGGGTCCTGGATTGTGGGCCCTGCAGGCTCTGTCCCACTGGAAAAACTCCAAAGCTCATCTGAATAACAAAATGGTTGAAATGCAATGGTGCCATGTTCAATCCTCTGCATCTCCAAGTAGGCTTTGAAAATAACACTGGTCTGTAATAAAAAAAACAGCCAGATGGACCAATGATCAGTTGTCCTATCCAGCTTTTTAGGGATTCATGCTCTACTTTTATAGCACAAGTTTATACCATTGGCTGTGGTGAGGACTGCAGTGCCTGCTCCCTTCCAAGGCCTTTTCCAGCTGTCCGGGGGGGGGGGGGGAGAGGCCTTCACATCCTGGCTACAAAAGGCTGTTTTAGATGTGTTTTAAAATGTCCTTAAACAGTCAGTGGCATTTTAAGTTCTTTTTATATATATATATATAATTTTTATTAAGATTTTTACATTACAAAATAGAAAAAGAAAAAAGAAAAAATACAAAATAAAAATAGTTTAAAACAATCAATCTATACATCACATTATTTTTCATTTACTTGTTTCTCGGACCTCCTCATACCTCCCTTTTTTGTATTCCAGTTCAATTTATTAGCTCAGCAGTTTCTTTCCCTCTTTATTCTACCCAGATCTTTAATCTTAAATTATTATAACCTTGAATTTGTACTTATAAAAAACCATTTTTTCATATTCTTTTATACCATTTCAGCTAGAAACCACTTAATTTCAATCCAACATCATTCTAACATTTTAAGTTCTTTTCCCCTCCTTTTTCCTTTTTGGGTGGGGTGGGTAGGTGGGTAGGTGGGTGGTATGGATGGAATATCTGTTTGGGGTTTAATTTTACTATAACTGTTCTGTTTTTGTTTTTTGCTGTTTTATTGGTTGTTGTATAGTTTGCATTTTGTTTTTAAGGGGCAGGATCAGGGCTGCCTGGGAGTGGCTGGGGCAAGTTCCGGGGGGGGGGAGCACTGGGACATCTGATCTCGGTGATCATGGGCAGGAGGTGGAGTTACGCTAAGACCAGACCATGTAATTACCAAGGAGGCAGGCTTAGTTGTTGTTTGAAGACTATCCCTGCCTATGGGTCTGGCCTTGACCTAGTTGGGTTGATCACCTAGTTTGGTTGTCCTAGGGGATTTTAACATCCATGCCGACACGACCTTACAAGGGGCTGCTCAGGACTTCGTGGAAAGCATGGCCTCCATGGGGTTTGGCCGAACTCATAGTCACAGACATGCCTTAGACCTGGTGTTTACCTCTAGTAACATGGGTGATGTAACACTAAGTAAAAGTGAAACAAAAGAAGTGCCATGGGCAGATCACTTCCTGGTGCAACTGGACTTCTCCGCAACCCTTCCCCTCTGCAGGGAGGTGGAAACAATTCGGACGGTCCGCCCCCGCCACTTAATGGATCCAAATGGTTTCCAGAGATTGGTAGGGGATGCTTTATCCCATGTTGATGGCCTTTCAGCTGATTCTCAGGTGGCCCACTGGTATGCTGAGTTAACCAGGGCTATCGACTGTCTGGCTCCGAAGCGCCCTCTCCGATTGCATGGAGCCCAGACAGCCCCGTGGTTTTCTTTGGAGCTGAGGGCGAGGAAACAATCGTTGAGACGGCTAGAGCTTCGGTGGCAGAAAACATTCTGAATCGGACTGGACATGGGTTAGAGCTCAACATCGAGCCTACCAAGTGGTGATAGCGATGGCGAAAGAAGACCATGTGCGCAGCCTGGGAGTATTTTGGAGTCACAGCTGTCCGTGGATGTGCAGGTAAGTTCTGTGTCCAGGGCAGCAGTTTACCAGCTCCATCTGGTACGCAGGCTGAGACACTATCTGCCTGTGGACTGTCTCACCAGAGTGGTGCATGCTCTAGTTATCTGTCGCTTGGATTACTGCATTGAGCTCTATGTGGGGCTAGCTTTGAAGGTGACCCAGAAACTACAACTAATCCAGAATGTGGCATCTAGACTGGTGACTGGGAGCGGCGACAGAGACCACATAACTTCGGTCTTGAAAGACCTACATTGGCTCCCAGTACGTTTCCGGGCACAATTCAAAGTGTTGGTGTTGACCTTTAAAGCCCTAAACGGCCTTGGTCCAGTATACCTGAAGGAGCGTCTCCACCCCCATTGTTCTGCCCGGACGCTGAGGTCCAGCGCCAAGGGCCTTCTGGCAGTTCCCTCATTGCGAGAAGCAAAGCTACAGGAAACCAGGCAGATGGCCTTCTCGGTAGTGGCGCCTGCCCTGTGGAACACCCTCCCATCAGATGTCAAAGAGATAAATAACTACCTGACATTCAGGTAGTTCAGGGAAGTTTTTAATGTGTGACATTTTGTGTATTTTTTGTCTTGTTGGAAGCTGCCCAGAGTGGCTGGGGAAACCCAGCCAGATGGGTCGGGTGCAAATAATAATTATTACTACTATTATTAACATTTATGAGATGAGTCTTTCAAGTTCATGAGGGGAAAAAGAAAACAAATAAATAAATTAATTAAATATTGTATATTTTTTTATGGGGAGGAATGGAGACTTTCTCCCAGCTGACTTTTCTTTCCTCCTGATGGATAGGTGGTGCCTATTTCTGTGTGTAATGACTGCTGCTCCCGTGGTCATCAGAAGAAAAGGAAGGAAGGGGAGAAATTTTGCTGCTATGATTGTGCTCCATGTCCAGAAGGGAAGATTTCAGACCAGAATGGTCTGTGACTTAGAATTCATGTGTTATTTTCATTGGATAGGATTGGGATAGTTTGCTACTTTAGATCTAAGTGCTATGTTTAACTACTATGCTGCCTGGAATATTTCTCTGTTGACTTCGAATATCTTCCCAGGGACATTTTGAAAAATGAGGAAGCCTCATGCAATACAGTGGCGTAGTGTGGGTTGTCAGCACCCGGGGCAAGGCAAGTAATTTGTGCCCCCTAACCCGTGGATTTGCGCCCCCTAACCTGTGGATTTGCCCTAACCCCAGATGTTGTGCCCGGTGCGGCCGGCCCCCCCTGCACCCCCCACGCTACGCCACTGATGCAATACATTTTATGTGGATTTGAGTGTGAGCGCTAAAATAGACAAAATGATCTATGGTAGTTGCACACCTACTTTATAATATCCCAGTGGCACCGGGCGCAACATCTGGGGGTTAGGGTTAGGGGGCGCAAATCCACGGGTTAGGGGGTGCAAATTATTTGCCTTGCTCCGGGTGCTGACAACCCACGCTACGCCACTGTAATATCCTAAACAGAAAAAAATATAAAAATGGCCAAAACAAATGGTCAAAAAGTCCATAGAGAAATGTTAACACTCCTGATGATGGTGATGGAGAGTTTGACAAATTTCTACTTTGAAGAGGTAAAATCAAACTGTGATTATTATTAGTAGATGCTGGATCAGACATTAAAGTTTCTCCTTAGTGGCCTCTGCAACACATGTCAGGTGCAAAAATCCATGGGGCACCCCTCAAATAGACAACCAGATACACAGTTCTAGATAGGAAACAGTGAAGTGATGATGTACGAGGAATACCTATCTGGCCAATCTGCACAGGACATCACAAATTCAAAATTATACCTTTTTGTGTTGTGTATAGTCAAAGACACTGGATTCAATGGCAGGTGGCATAGGCGAAGTGGTTTTACCCAGGCACAAGCTCCCTTTCCTCTCTTTATTTTTCATTTGCTTGCCAATAGTGTAAAGTGCACAAAGGTCAAATGTGTGTAAGTTGAGGGCTAATTAAAGTGCACTTTCATTTTACAGCAGTGCATTAAGAATGTCCAGGTTGAAATCCCAAAACGGTCATATGGAGGCAAATGAAGGAAATAAATTTTGTTTAGAATTTGACCTGTTTCTGTTTTTCAGATATGGATGACTGTTTCAGATGCCCAGAAGACCAATATGCAAACAAGAACAAAGATGGATGCATCTCCAAATCAATGAGCTTTCTTTCTTATGAAGAACCCTTAGGGATCAGCTTGGCCTCAATTGCTATTTGTTTCTCCATTGTCACAACTTTAGTGTTTTTAGCTTTTGTGAAGCACAGAGATACACCCATTGTCAAAGCCAACAACCGAGATCTCACCTACACTCTCCTCATCTCTCTACTGCTCTGCTTTCTATCTTCTTTGCTATTCCTTGGCAAACCAGGGGAAATGGCTTGCTTCCTCAGACAACCTACTTTTGGCATCATCTTCTCAATGGCTGTTTCTTGTGTGCTGGCCAAAACCATTACCGTAGTTGTAGCTTTCATGGCCACCAAGCCAGGGTCCAGCCTGAGGAAGTGGGTGGGGAAAAGACTGGCCAACGCCATTGTCCTTTCTTGCTCTTTGATTCAAGCAAGTCTGTGTACTCTCTGGTTGGCAACTTCTCCTCCATTCCCAGATTTAGACATGCACTCACTAATGGAAGAAATTACTGTGCAATGTAATGAAGGGTCGGTGACCTTATTTTCCTGTGTCCTGGGCTACATGGGCCTCCTGGCTTTCTTCAGCTTCATTGTGGCATTTGCAGCTCGCAAATTGCCAGACAGTTTTAATGAAGCCAAGTTCATTACCTTCAGCATGTTGCTGTTCTGCAGTGTTTGGTTGTGTTTTGTCCCAACCTACCTGAGCACGAAAGGGAAGTACATGGTGATGGTGGAGATCTTCTCCATCTTGGCCTCCAGTGCTGGCTTACTGGGCTGCATCTTTGCCCCAAAATGCTATATTATCATGCTGAGGCCAGAGCTGAACAACAGAGAGCAACTAATAAGAATAAAGAATTAAAGCAGCTCTTTGATTTGCCATCATTTTATTGTTAAAAAGGATTTTTAGGTTTATGCATAATTCATTTATACTATTTACAAAAGGTTTATGCATATTTAATTTATACTATTTACAAAAGTTCATTTAAAATTATTAACATGTTGACTTCTTGGGGGAAATTTTGCTGGTTAACACTCCCATCGCCAGCTAAGACTTAAATCTTTGTTAGTACACTCTCCCTTGTGTGATAGGGAGATTAACCTCACATGCTCTGAAGAAAGCCGTTCTTTAAACTGAGTATGAGAACTTTCTGGAGGCAGATAAAATTTTGGAGAGAATCTGACATTGTGCCCAGATACTGCACAATATCCTTGAAGGTTAGCTCTCAAATCAGCAAAACCTCTCTTCTTTTAACAATATTTGATATTGGGATATTTTGAGATTATAACATGGATGACCCTTTCTGCCAATTAATTTTCACCTGGAATGTGACTTAACTGCAGCCATAAAAAGAGACATTAGTTAGAATATCTAACAGACTGCAAAATAATACCAAAGACATACCTATTTATTTCAGATTCAGAGAGATGATAAATGGAAAAGGATGCTCTGGTGATTAAGAATTATCATTTTTTCTTACTTTTAACTCCCCTTCCTTTCTGTGAGTACTGGCTTCTTATTAAAGAGACAGACACAAGACTTCAAGGCAGACACTGTTAAGGTGGATAGAAATATAATCCAATATAGCAAAGATATTGTTGAATACCCCACTGATTGTTGGTATTGTGTGGCATTTATTGGGTGAGCAATTGAAAGAATTCATAGCTGAGAAGGAGAAAATGATGAACAAAATGGATCAGAGAAAAATAAGACCAAAGAATACGCAGGACCTTTGGGGGGGGGATACTGATCAAGGTCTGCCTGAACAGGAAAGGAGAATGGTTGCAGGTGATGGAATGGACAAGACCTTCACAAAGTTGCCTGGAGGTGTGAACCAGACAAATGAAGGAGTTGTTATGCTGAAGGAGTGGAATTAATTCATTGACAGAGATAGCAAGAAACTTCATGAGATGCCAGAGATAGAGTCGAGAGAAAGGATCCTGTGTGCAAGTTGGAATGAATTTAGAAGCGAAAGTCACCAAGCCTCCGGCCTTTTGGAAACAGAGTGAAAGAAGAGGAATTTAAATTAGGACGTGAAATCATGGCAAACTGGAAATGGGAATGGAAGATATGGAGCTGCATAGCACAGTGATTAGTAGCCTACATAAAGGGGAAATTCTCTTTTATGTATTGTGGTTCCAAGCTGTATATGGCTTTGTATACCAATACCAGCACATTGACCTCATTTGCAGGCAGTTCAGTTCTTTCATCTGCAGTGGTATAACATGATGGTGAAATTTCGCTCCAGTGAGCACATTCCAGGCCAGCCTCAGGGGCAGTCTCACAAAAGGTGCATTGCATTCGTAATGCAATCTGGAGGTTACCCATGCAAGCAAAACACCATCAGGAAGTTTTAACAGTCTGAATAATCAATTGCTTAATTCTCCTCTTTTTGATGATGCATCTGGTGTGTGGGTGTGTTGTGCTTTGCGGGAGGAGGTTCCCCTAGACTATTAGTGTAAAAAATATGTTTCCCAAGCCTCCTTTAAACCTAGGGTTGCATGTGTGGCCCTTAGTTCAGGATTTGCTGTTTTGCATCCACAAAGAAAAATGGCACCACTCTGACTTTCCTGGGTATGTTCATTTGCCACAGAAGATTTCAAGCCACTTGCCACTTTGTAGGCCACTCAGGGTCAGAGGTAACATGGAGTCACATTTTAGAAAACAAACCCAGCTGAACTTGTTGGTTACCAAAACTGCTACTCTGAGCTAATAATCTGAAAACAATATTATCTATTCATGCAATTAAGCAAATCATTATATTTTGCTCAATTTGTCCATGCTCAAGAGACTTTTCAGTAGTCACTTGGAAAAATTCAATAGGAAAACCTAGCAGTTGTTATAATAAATAATGTTGTATTCAGTAGAGTGGTGAGGTTAGAGGCAAAGGCCAGAGAAGACCATGCTCATCTTATTTCTCACGTTCTCCTTTTATTGGCCAGACTTGAAATGGGTGCTGGCAATGTCACCTTCTAACCAAGGCTCCATTTGTTACACTTTGATTCTAAAATGCAACTCACAAATATCGTCTGGAATTTTTTTGCCAGAGCCAGTTATTACCCAATGTAGTCTCTTCCTCTCAAAGGAAATGAGAGCAACAACATATTATAGATCAATTAAAGAACCTGACAATATCTAAAGGGTATACTGATAGAGACAAAGACTGCAAGATTTTTCTCTCCTTAAGAGGCTTATGCGAAAAGGAAATAAGCTACACTGCTAGAATGTTTTGTGTATATGTGTTGCTGTTTTTGCATGTACCTAGTGTGTACAATGCAGATCCGACCAGGTGTCCCACCAGTGACCCCTTTCCTGTTCCTCATGAGTGGTACCAGCCAGGTGGCCTCATCATTGGTGGGATTTCCTCTCAGATCTTTTATACATTTGATGAAGTTTTCTTCAGAGAACAGCCTTCACAGAACATGTTCACAATTCCATAGTAAGTGTCTCCCCGCTTATCCCTCCAAATCCCCATTCCTTTTGTGTCATGTCTCCTACATTTTAAGCATTCATGTAGTGAGTTTCTTATCACTGACCTATGTATAGTGGCTACTTTGGAAGACTTTACTGGCTGAAAAGGATAAAAATGCTTCAGTCAAATACAGTGGTACAGTACCTCTGGTTACAAACTTAATTTGTTCCGGAGGTCCATTCCTAACCTTAAACCGTACTTAACTTGAGGTACGAATGTAACTAATGGGGCTTCCTGCTGCCACCGCACCGCCAGTGCGCAATTTCTGTTCTCATCCTTGGGCAAAGTTCTTAACCCGAGGTACTATTTTTAGGTTAGTGGAGTCTGTAACCCAAAGTGTTTATTACCCGAGGTGTTTGTAACCTGAGGTGCCACTGTGTATAATTATACGGCTTCACAAATAATCATTTACCTGAGAAAGTTCCAACAGGTCAACCCCTGAGCACTTCTCATTGTCAGTCACTGCCTGGGTATTGCCTTCCATCCCCAAGGAAAAGGGCACCACTCTTCCACTCAGCTTGCAGACTTTCAGCACAGACAGTTGTTCTCCATTTTATGAAGTGACAGAGAGAAGGGAATGAGGTTTAAGTTTGGCTTTAATTGCACCCAAAGTATGTGTGATTTCTACACAGCCCTGGTGTTTGGGAGGTGAAGTGTAAAGTTGAGAAAGATAGTGTTGGGGATAAATTCAAACATAAATCTAGTGCTGTATCAAAGCTGGTCCTCCAGTTTCACAAAATATTTCTTCCCCCTTGAAAGTGTTTTTTAAATTCCTTTTACCTTTTTTTTTAAAAAAAATTGTTCACCAACTTATTTCAGATGGAATAGAGTTGCCATATGAAGCTGAAGATTTCGGTAATGTGCAGGGTTGTGCATGTGCTAATTTGACACCGGGGGGTGGGGGGGTGGCTTTAATTCAATAGTAAATGTCCAGGATTTTCTGTGCTTCCTGCTAAAAAATAGCTAAACTTTGGACGATCACCCCCAAAAAGGATGAGCAACTCTGTCCAGATTTTTACTTCTTGAAATATGGCAACCCTATATTAATCCTGTCTATCTATCTATCTATCTATCTATCTATCTATCTATCTATCTATCTATCATATCTCTCTCTCTCTCTCTCTCTCTTTCATCTATCTATCTATCTATCATCTATCATCTATCATCCAGTGGCGTAGCGTGGGTTGTCAGCACCCGGGGCAAGGCAAGTAATTTGCGCCCCCTAACCCGTGGATTTGCGCCCCCTAACCCATGGATTTGCCCTAACCCCAGATGTTGCGCCCGGTGCGGCTGGCCCCCCTGCACCCCCCACGCTACACCACTGCTATCATCTATCTATCTATCTATATCTATCATCTATCATCTATCTATCATCTATCTATCTATCATCTATCTATCATCTATCATCTATCTATCTATCTATCTATCTATCTATCTATCTATCTATCATCTATCTATCATCTATCTATCTATCTATCATCTATCTATCATCCATCTATCTATCATCTATCTATCTATCATCTATCTATCTATCTATCTAATCATCTATCTATAATCTATCATCTATCTATCTATCTATCTATCTATCTATCATCTATCTATCTATCTATCTATCATCTATCTATCTATCATCTATCATCTATCATCTATCATCTATCATCTATCTATCTATCTATCTATCATCTATCTATCATCTATCATCTATCTATCTATCATCTATCTATCTATCATCTATCTATCATCTATCTATCTATCTATCTATCTATCTATCTATCTATCATCTATCATCTATCTATCATCTATCTATCTATCTATCTATATCTATCTATCTATCTATCTATCTATCTATCTCTATCTATCTATCTATCTATCTATCTATCATCTATCTATCATCATCTATCTATCACCTATCCATCTATCATCTATCTATCTATCTATCTATCATCTATCTATCTATCTATCTATCTATCTATCATCTATCTATATCTATATCTATCTATCATCTGTCTATCTATCATCTATCTATATCTATCATCTATCTACATAGACATACACACAAACATATAGATCTACATGCACATGAAAACACATGCCAGAAAGCTTTATTTAAATTGCTCACTTCACAGAATATGTTCAAAGTTACATAACAAGGTCTATATCCCCTCAAATAATAAAAAATAATTACCTTAGCATTTCAAAAGTAGTGGCAACCTGTGCAACCCCCAAATCTGGTACCCATTCTTGCCTTCCACCTGTGACTTTTGTGTCATATACTTTAGATTTTAAGGCTTAAAGCACTATTTATCCTGTGTAAACTGCTTTGCTGAAGAAGGGATAGAAACACTTCAAGTAAATAAATAACTGAGTCACAGATAGTCCAATACATCCACCCCTGGGCACTCCCTCTCTCAATCACATTAGGAGAGCAAAGTGTTCTCAAAATCTTCTCTCAAATTTCAAGCTCATGCTTCTCAAATTAATGGAACCCATTTAATACTTCATTTTATATTATTTATTTCATTTCCAAATTGCTTTACATGAGCCTAAGGATGAAAAAAGGCATTGTTTTCCATACTGCCTTGTATATATCACATGCAGCACTGATTTTGTTCTGTTGTTCTGAAGTTAATCTTCCACAAAGAACTAAACTATTCATCTTGTTGTCCACTGAGATGAATTTATGTAGGTAACCATTACATTATTTCATGCAATTATTTTCAATGCACAAGAAACACAATAAAAATGGAAGGGAAATTTAATAAATCATTTGTCATTTGCAGCTTGTATGCAACTGGAACAGCATATGTTTATAATATTCCCGGGATTGATTTCCTATCTGGACATAGAAGGAATGAGCAAACAGTGGTAACTTCTGCTCCCATTTCTGTTTTTAGCAGAATTGCAATTGAACTTATCATCATGAGATATGAAAAGAGCTAAGACATCAACACATAAAAGAACAATTTAAAAACAATAAAACACATGCACTTCAACTTTTAAATGCCTTCTGAAAATGTTTCTTACACATCAAACTTATGCAGGCATTTTAGAAACCATAAATGTTTATGTAATATCTGATTTCTGATTATATTTTTATATGTTTCTTATTGTATCGTTTAATATAGATTTTTCTAAATGGATGTGATTTTTTTAAATGAAAAATTGTATATTTTAAACACACACACACACACACACACAGAGAGAGAGAGAGAGAGAGAGAGAGAGACTCCTAAATCTCAGTGCTTCATTCATCTGAGAATAAGACTGACTGAACAAAATTGATTGCTGTTCTGAATAGAAATACATAGGTTGGAATGGGAATGTGTCAGATGTGTTTCTATTGGGATCAATGGGACGTTGAAAGTCACAATGAACTTGTCTCATTGATTTTAATAAGAACTAACTGTAAGGAAATTATGGTGTAGTCCAGAGCCGCCATCTTCTCAAAATGACTGAAGGAATCCAACACGATGTCCTGATGTCACTGGCATGAAGTCACAAAGAGCCAAGGGTGGAGTGAAACTGCCCTCTAAAAAATGTGTAGTGTTTTTTTTTGGGGGGGGGGAGGAACTGCCTTGGCACCTAAGACTTGGCTCATATGGTGCAATCCTACAAATAAACACCAGAAGCTGTCTGCATAAGACTCTGCATTACTATTAGTTAATCTAGCTCAGTATAATAAACAGTAATGGGTAGCAGTTTCCCAGAGTTTCTAGCACAGCGACATTCCCAGACCTAGCTGAAGATGTCAACTCTTGGACCTAGGATCACCTAGAAGAAAAACAGATGATCCACCAAACTGTTGCAGAGCAGCAGCCCACCCACAACTGTCTACTAAGAGGTAAGCCCCACAGAGTTCAATGGAATTTATTTCCTGATAAGTGTAAGATTGTCACACATTCTTTATTATAGTCCAAAGACCGACAAAAGCGAATTTGAAAGCAAACTACAGCAGAAATTCAGGAAAGACATTACTAGGCAGTGTTTAGGGTTCTAGGTTTCATGGTCCAGGAAAAACTTGGTATAAGAATTGCTCACATACCAAAGAGATATAGCTGTGGGTTTTGTTCTGTTTTTATTTGCATTGTTTGGTGTTTCTTAGCTTAGAAATATGATTTACGAGAAGAGAAAATAACCTCATTTCAAACTATATTTTAATTTGAGACAGAAATGATCCATATTATGATATGTTGATTCCACACACTGTAGAATTTACACTTGAATTCATTTGCAGTGTGGTGACGAAATTCTACCAGCACACCCTTGCCTTGGCATTTGCTGTAAAAGAGATAAATGACAGCCCCAAGATCTTGCCCAATCTCACCCTTGGATTCCACATCTATGATAGTTATTACAATGCAAGGATGACGTATCGGACAACTCTGGACCTACTTTTCAAATCGAATAGATTTATCCCCAACTATACATGTGACATGGAGAAAAACCTCATAGCCATCATTGGAGGACTTAGCTCTGATACCTCCTTCTATATGGCTGACACCATAGGCGTCTACAAGATTCCTCAGGTAGCAGCTTTGAATGGGAACAGGGATGTGGATTTTCACAATGTACACTCTTCCATTGCTTATAATCCAGATTGGCCATGAAGCTCAATTGGAAAACATCTTTGAAACATCAACTGGTGCAAAATGCAGGAGTCATGTTATTAGCTGGGATTCAATTTAGAATGATACTAATAATAGTAATGGTGATGATGATGATAATGATCATAGAGCTTTAGCAAGATATTATAAACTGATCCACTAGCCTAACATACAAGTGCTGAATCTCCAGAAAATGTACAAAATGAAGGAAGGAAGACAATTTCCAGAATTTTTTATTTTAAACAATCGAAATAATTCTAGAGAATTTAGCTAGAAAAGGGAAGTTGGGTTTAACTGTCCCTGAACCCACACCTTGCTCTGAATTACATTTGTTGAATGAACAGGCACATGCTCAAAATGAAGGTTTATCTTAATGTTAACTCCATCATCTCTGTACACTTCCTTTTAGATCACATATGGATCTTTTCCCCCAGGGGAGAGTGATACAGATCACTCCCCTTCCTTTTTCCGCATGGTACCCAATGACAGCCATCAATATATGGCAATCATCAGCTTACTAAAGCATTTTGGATGGACATGGGTTGGACTTTATGTTGTAGAGGGTGACGGTGGAGAAAAATTCCTGCAGACCCTGGAACCATTGCTGTCTAAATATGGAATCTGTTCAGCCTTCTTCCAAAATATACCACAAGTAGCCCATTTAGATAAGCTGGGTAAAACGATGGATGTGATCTTGGATCTCTCTCTCTCTCTAAGAGATAATAAAGTCAGCGCATGTATAATCTTTGGAGAAAGTTTAACCATTGTTTGGATGAGAACTGCTATATTTTTTAGTGATCCTGAAAATAAGAAAAGCTCATCGTTTAGAAAGGTTTGGATCATAACAACCCAGATTGAATTAATATTAACAGGTCTTCAAAGGTCTTGGGATCTTGATTCCTTTCAAGGTGCAATTTCCTTAACAATTCACTCAGAACAGATTCTAGGGTTCAAGACGTTTCTTCAGAATATAAAGCCTGATAGAATAGACAGAGATGGTTTCCTCAAGGACGTCTGGGAGCAAGCATTCGACTGTACATTGCCAAACCCCAGTGTGCCTTTGGATAGTAATGAACATTGTACTGGGGAAGAGAGACTGAAGAGCCTTCCGGGGGCACTGTTTGAAATGGGCATGGCTGGCCACAGCTACAGTATCTACAATGCTGTCTATGTTGTGGCTCATGCTTTGCATGCCATTGTCTCAACTAGATTGAAGCAGAAGACTTTAATGGCAGATGGAAAGTTGGATCTTCAAGACTGGCAACCTCTGAAGGTAATGTATTGAAATCAAATTCTTCTTAATTCAGTGGCTTGAATATTCCAAGGAGGGATTGTATCAACAAGTACCTGACGAAATGGCATTATACATTTATTCAATGAGAAAATTAGAATCATTTAGTCATAGAATTCTAGAGATGGAAGGTCCCCAAGGCTCATCTAGTCCAATCCCAGCATTGTAGGAATGTGTGTGGTTTATGTTTACATCATCTCATGCACATTTTGCCTGAAAATAAATTTGGTCTACAATAAATCCGTTATGGCAAGGCAGCAAACCAAAACTGAGATCTGCTGGGATGAGGGTTTATTGGAATCCTTGGCTCTCCGTCTGATCCGTCTGATGTTTCCCATCCCAGCAATACTGAAGATACTCTGATTATGTCTTCCATCCCAGGTTAACTGTGTTTCAGCTGACTGAGCCAAGGATTTGATAGGTTGCAAAAAGGGGGTGTTAGGGGGAGGGCAGGGTGAAAATTACTCCAATTCTAAAACCTTTTCAGCTCATTCACAGGAGCCAGAGACCCAGATGAACCCATTTTGGGGCGAAGGGGTCGTATAAGACAAACTCTGTATTAAAGGCCTTTTGCCCTGACCTAGGCTTGTACCTTTTGAAATACAGTCAAACCTTGTCTGTCGAATGCAATCCGTTCCAGAAACCTTCCACAACCGAGGCGCGGCTTCCGATTGGTTGCATGAGCTACTAACACTCAAGCAGAAGGTCATAGAATCATAGAATCATAGAATCATAGAGTTGGAAGAGACCACAAGGGCCATCGAGTCCAACCCCCTGCCAAGCAGGAAACACCATCAGAGCACTCCTGACATATGGTTGTCAAGCCTCTGCTTAAAGACCTCCAAAGAAGGAGACTCCACCACACTCCTTGGCAGCAAATTCCACTGTCGAACAGCTCTTACTGTCAGGAAGTTCTTCCTAATGTTTAGGTGGAATCTTCTTTCTTGTAGTTTGGATCCATTGCTCCGTGTCCGCTTCTCTGGAGCAGCAGAAAACAACCTTTCTCCCTCCTCTATGTGACATCCTTTTATATATTTGAACATGGCTATCATATCACCCCTTAACCTCCTCTTCTCCAGGCTAAACATGCCCAGCTCCCTTAGCCGTTCCTCATAAGGCATCGTTTCCAGGCCTTTGACCATTTTGGTTGCCCTCCTCTGGACACGTTCCAGTTTGTCAGTGTCCTTCTTGAACTGTGGTGCCCAGAACTGGACACAGTACTCCAGGTGAGGTCTGACCAGAGCAGAATACAGTGGCACTATTACTTCCCTTGATCTAGATGCTATACTCCTATTGATGCAGCCCAGAATTGCATTGTGTCAAAGCTTTGGTTACTAAAAACAATTTGAAAACCAGAGCATTTACTTCCAGGTTTTCGGCATTCGGGAGCCAAAATGTAAGATAACGGAGGTGTTTGGAAACCGTAGTTTGATTATAGTTACAAAAGAGGGACTTTTCAAATCACAGCATTTTGCTTCAATTGTTTATCAATTTTTACCCCTTTATGTCTTGTTATATTTCAATTAGCTGCAAACTTTTCTTTGTGGCATTATATTTAATAACTCTGCAGGAGAAACATTGAGTTTCAATGGTAAAAAGGAAATGGAAGGTGTATTTGACATCATGAACATAGTCACATTCCCAAACAAGTCCTTCCTTCGAGTGAAAGTTGGTCAAGTGGACAATGATGCTCTTGAAGCAAGAAGAATCATCATTCATGAGGACATGATTAAATGGCACAAGGGTTTTAACCAGGTATGGGTCCGGGAGTATTATTGTGGGCCCTGCAAGCTATATCTGAAAAACAAAATGGTTGAAATGCAAAGGTCCCAAGTTCAATCCTCTGAATCTCCAAGTAGACTTTGAAAATAACACTGGTCTGTAATCAAAAGCAGCAAGATGAAGCAATGATCAGCTCACCCCCCCCCACACACACTTTTAAGAGATTTTTTTAAGACAGGTACTTCTATAGGACACGATTATATTTGAAATTTCTGGGATTGTATTTCAAGTTCATGAGCAAAATATAAAACAAATAAAGAAATTAAATATCTTTTTGTAGTGAGGAATGGAGAATTTCTCCCATCTGAATTTTCTTTCCTCCTTATGGATAGGTGGTACCTATTTCTGTGTGTAATGACCGCTGCTCCCCTGGTCATCAAAAGAAAAATAAGGAAGGGAAGAAATTTTGCTGCTACGATTGTGCTCCATGTCCAGAAGGGAAGATTTCAGACCAGAATGGTTTGTGACATAGAATTCATGTTTTATTTTCACTGGATAGGAATAGGATGGTTTGCGTCTTTAGATCTAAATGGTATATTTAAATACCATGCTGTTTGGAATGTTTCTCTGTTGACTTTCAATATCTTCCCAAGGGCATTTTGAAAAATGTCCACCAGCAAGGTCCAGCAGGGCAGCAGATCCCAGTATGGATCTTAATTCAAGGCCAACCTACCCACTAGGAAAGGTGAGGTGACTGCCTCAAGAAGCAGAATGCACATGGGTAGAAAATATCCATGTGAGTTTTACATCCCCTCTTCTTTCTGTTGCCATGGGGTCAGCTTCAGGTGCCAAAATCTCTTGGGCCAACCCTGAAATAAACACTAAACCACACATACATACAGTGGTGCCCCGCAAGACGAATGCCTCACAAGACGAAAAACTCGCTAGACGAAAGGGTTTTCCGTTTTTTGAGTCATCCCGCAAGACGAATTTCCCTATGGGCTTGCTTCCCAAGACTTGCAAGTTCTTGCGAGTTTGTTTCCTTTTTCTTAAAGCCGCTAAGCCGTTAATAGCCGCTAAGCCGCTAAGCCGTTAATAGCCACTAAGCCACTAAGCCGCTAATAGCCGCTAAGCCGCTAATAGCCGTGCTTCGCAAGACGAAAAAACCGCAAGACGAAGAGACTCGCGGAACGGATTAATTTCGTCTTGCGGGGCACCACTGTATATGAAAGCCAAGAGGAAACAGAAATACATTGAAAACATTCCACCCACTTCCAAAAGGCCACATATAGTTAAAAGCCAAAAGGCTTAGTGGTCAAAGTAAACATATGCCTTGCACATAAAGATATATAATGATATTCCGACTGGAGCCTCCCCAGGGAGAGCATTCCACAAATGGGCAGCCACCACACCAAAGGTCAATTCTGGGGATTGGCTTCTCCAGATCTCTTGTTGAGGGGATAGGAGAACAGCCTCAGATGACAATAGGAAATTCTGGTACAGTTCATATGGGGAGAGGCAGTCCTGGGAGAATTTCATCCTGGGGCATTTTAAGGCCTTATATGTCAAAACCAGAACTTTGAAATGGGCCCAGAAACTAATGGGGAACTAGTGCAGTCAGGCCAGAGTGAGTTTTATGTTCACACTATCTTGCCTAGAACAGCAACATGGCCACAGTATTATGCCCAAGCTGAAGTTTCTAAACCATCTTCAGAGGTGGTCCATCTATAACACGTTGCAGTTATCTAACCTATATATAACCAAAGGAAAGATGACAGAAGTTAGGCTATCCCTGTCCAGAAAAAGGCAGATGTGGTAGAGGCCAAAACTGAGGATGCAACCGTCAATTAATCTAGGGAACCTCATTCTTATCTGGATTGTGCTTCAGTTTATAAGTAGAATCATGAAAATAACTATCCACTGTCTCTGCATCCAGCCAAAATAGGTGCAAATGTTGTGCAAATGTTGTAATAGCTGCTACACAGTATCACATAACATGCGTTAGAATAATTGTTATACAGAAAGCCCACAACTTACCCAGGAATTACAATTACGGGATCACACCTAAAGCCCAAGTTGTGTATAGTCAAAAATACTGGATTCAGTGGCAGGTGGGATTGGTCAAGTCTTTTTTCCCAGTCACAAGCTCCCTTTCCTCTCTTTATTTTTCATTTGCTTGCCAATTGTGTAAAGTACACAAAGGTCAAATGTGTGTAAGTTGTCGGCAAATTAAAGTGCACTTCCATTTTAACACAGTGCATTAAGAATGTCCAGGTTGAAATCCCAAAACGGTCATATGGGAGGCAAAAGAAGCAAATACATTTTTTTTAGAATTTGACCTGTTTCTGTTTTTCAGATATGGATGACTGTTTCAGATGCCCAGTAGACCAATATGCAAACAGGAACAAAGATGGATGCATCTCCAAAACAATGAGCTTTCTTTCTTATGAAGAACCCTTAGGGATCAGCTTAGCCTCAATTGCTATTTGTTTCTCCATTGTCACAACTTTAGTCTTTTTAGCTTTTGTGAAGCACAGAGATACACCCATTGTCAAAGCCAACAACCGAGATCTCACCTACACTCTCCTCATTTCTCTTCTGCTCTGCTTTCAATCTTCTTTGCTATTCCTTGGCAAACCAGGGGAAATGGCCTGCTTCCTCAGACAACCTACTTTTGGCATCATCTTCTCTGTGGCTGTTTCTTGTGTGCTGGCCAAAACCATTACCGTAGTTGTAGCTTTCATGGCCACCAAGCCAGGGTCCAGCCTGAGGAAGTGGGTGGGGAAAAGACTGGCCAACTCCATTGTCCTTTCCTGCTCTTTGATTCAAGCAAGTCTGTGTACTCTCTGGTTGGCAACTTCTCCTCCATTCCCAGATTTAGACATGCACTCACTAATGGAAGAAATCACTGTGCAATGTAACGAAGGGTCTGTGACCTTGTTTTCCTGTGTCCTGGGCTACATGGGCCTCCTGGCTTTCTTCAGCTTCCTCTCAGCATTCCTGGCCCGCAAATTACCTGACAGTTTCAATGAAGCCAAGTTCATTACCTTCAGCATGTTGCTGTTCTGCAGTGTTTGGTTGTGTTTTGTCCCAACCTACCTGAGCACGAAAGGGAAGTACATGGTGATGGTGGAGATCTTCTCCATCTTGGCCTCCAGTGCTGGCTTACTGGGCTGCATCTTTGCCCCAAAATGCTATATTATCATGCTGAGGCCAGAGCTGAACAACAGAGAGCAACTAATAAGAATAAAGAATTAACACATCTCTTTGATTTGCCATCATTTTATTGTTAAAAAGGAAGGGGTAAGGTTTATGCATAATTCATTTATACTATTTACAAAAGTTCATTTAAAATTATTTACGTGTTGACTTCTTGGAGGAAATTTTGCTGGTTAACACTCCCATCGCCAGCTAAGACTTAAATCTTTGTTAGTACACTCTCCCTTGTGTGATGGGGAGATTAATCTCACATGCTCTGAAGAAAGCCGTTCTTTAAACTTAGTATGAGAACTTTCTGGAGGCAGATAACATTTTGGAGAGAATCTGACATTGTGCCCAGTTACTGCACAATATCCTTGAAGGTTAGCTCTCAAATCAGCAAAACCTCTCTTCTTTTAACAATATTTGATATTGGGATATTTTGAGATTATAACATGGATGACCCTTTCTGCCAATTAATTTTCACCTGGAATGTGACTTAACTGCTGCCATAAAAAGAGACATTAGTTAGAATATCTAACAGACTGCAAAATAATACCGAAGACATACCTATTTATTTCAGATTCAGAGAGATGATACATGGAAAAGGATGCTCTGGTGATTAAGAATATCATTTTTTCTTACTTTTAACCCCCCTTCCTTTCTGTGAGTACTGGCTTTTTCTTAAAGAGAGAGACACAAGACTTCAAGGCAGACACTGTTAAGGTGGAGAGAAATATAATCCAATATAGCAAAGATATTGTTGAATACCCCACTGACTGTTGGTATTGTGTGGTATTTATTGGGTGAGCAATTGAAAGAGTTCATAGCTGAGAAGGATAAAATGATAAACAAAAATTGATCAGAGAAAAATCAGACCAAAGAATACATAGGACCTTTGTTTGTGTTGGTGTGGGTGGGGGGTGGGTGATACTGATCAAGGTCTGCCTGAATGGAAAGGAGAATGGTTGCAGGTGATGGAATGGACAAGACCTTCAGAAAGGTGTCTGGAGGCATGAGCCAGACAAATGAAGGAGTTGTTATGCTGAAGGAGTGGAATGAATCAATTGATAGAGATAACAAGAAACTGCATGAGATGCCAGAGATAGAGTCTAAAGAAAGGATCCTGTGTACAAGTTGGAATGAATTTAGAGGGGAAAGCCACCAAGCCTCCGGCCTTTTGGAAACAGAATGAAATAAGAGGAAATGGAAGGGACTTTCTTTTTAAATCAGGACGTGAAATCATGGCAAACTGGAAATGAGACTGGAAGATATGGAGCTTCATAACACAGTGATTAGTAGCCTACATAAAGGGGAAATTCTCTTTTATGTATTGGGGTTCCAAGCTGTATATGGCTTTGTACACCAATACCAGCACATTGAACTCATTTGCAGGCAGTTCAGTTCCTTCATCTGCAGTGGTATAACATGATGGTGAAACTTTGCTCCAGTCAGCACCGCAGTTTGCGCTAGCTGTGCATTCCAGGCCAGCCTCAGGGGCAGTCTCACAAAAGGTGCATTGCATCCGTAAGGCAATCTGGAGGTTACCCATGCAAGCAAAACACCATCAGGAAGTTTTAACAGTTTGGATAATCAATTGATTATAGAACTTTCTTTATGTATGCAACAACAGCAGCAAGAATACTTATTGCAAAGTATTGGAAGACACAAGATTTACCCACCCTGGAAGAGTGGCAGATGAAGGTGATGGACTATATGGAATTGGCAGAAATGACTGGCAGAATCCGAGACCAGGGAGAAGAGTTGGTGGAAGAAGATTGGAAGAAATTTAAAGACTACTTGCAGAAATACTGTAAAATTAATGAATGTTAAAATGATGTTGGATTGAAAATAAGTGGTATTGGTAACAAGGTTAATAAGAATATGCAAATATGGATTGATAATTGATGAAAATGCATAGTTATAATAGGTCATGATATAGAGTTAAGATAAATGAAAGAGGGTAAGGATTTGCTGAATGGATTATGTAAATGGGAACACAAAAAGGGGAGGTGTGAGGAGGTCAAGGAAACAAGCAAATGAACTTAAAGATATTGAAAAATGGATTTTTTATTTTTTCTTAGCTATTTGGTTTTTGAACTTTGTATTTTTTCTTTCTTTTTTTCTTTCTTCTATGTTTTCTTTTTAGTATGTTAATTACTGTTTTAATTTTTTTTATTTTGTAAACCTATGTTTTTTGTAAAACGCTAATAAATATCTTATATAAAAAGAAAGATAATCAATTGATTAATTCTCCTCTTTTGATGATGCATCTGGTGTGTGGGTGTGTTGTGCTTTGCGGGAGGAGGTTCCCCTAGACTATTAGTGTAAAAAATATGTTTCCCAAGCCTCCTTTAAAACTAGGGTTGCATGTGTGGCCCTTAGTTCAGGATTTGCTGTTTTGCATCCACAAAGAAAAATGGCACCACTCTGACTTTCCTGGGTATGTTCATTTGCCACAGAAGATTTCAAGCCACTTGCCACTTTGTAGGCCACTCAGGGTCAGAGGTAACATGGAGTCACATTTTAGAAAACAAACCCAGCTGAACTTGTTGGTTACCAAAACTGCTACTCTGAGCTAATAATCTGAAAACAATATTATCTATTCATGCAATTAAACAAATCATTATATTTTGCTCAATTTGTCCAGGCTCAAGAGACTTTCCAGTAGTCACTTGGAAAAATTCAATAGGAAAGCCTAGAAGTTGTTATAATAAATAATGTTGTATTCAGTAGAGTGGTGAGGTTAGAGGCAAAGGCCAGAGAAGACCATGCTCATCTTATTTCTCACGTTTTCCTTTTATTGGCCAGACTTGAAATGGGTGCTGGCAATCTCACCTTCTAACCAAGGCTCCATTTGTTACACTTTGATTCTAAAATGCAACTCACAAATATCGTCTGGAATTTTTTTGCCAGAGCCATTTATTACCCAATGTAGTCCCTTCCTCTCAAAGGAAATGAGAGCAACAGCATATTATAGATCAATTAAAGCACCTTGCAATGTCTAAAGGGTATACTGATAAAGACATAGACTGCATGATTTTTCTCCTTAAGAGGCTTGTGTGCCTCTGCTACACTGCTAGGATGTTTTGTGTATTTGTGTTGCTGTTTTTGCAAGTGCCTGGAGTGTGCAATGCAGATACGACCAGGTGTCCCACCAGTGACCCCTTTCCTGTTCCCCATGAGTGGTACCAGCCAGGTGGCCTCATCATCGGTGGGATTTCTTCTCAGATATTTTATCAATTTGATGAAGTTTACTTCAGAGAACAGCCTTCACAGAACATGTTCAAAATTCCATAGTAAGTGTCTCCCCCGTATCCCTTCAAATCCCCATTCCTTTTGTGTCATGTCTCCTAGATTTTAAGATTTAATGTAGTGAGTTTCTTATCACTGAAATATGTAAGCCACTTTGGAATACTTTTCTGGCTGAAAAGGATAAAAATGCTTCAGGCAAATATATGATTATACTGGTTCACAAAGAAGCATTTACATAATTGAGAAAGCTCCAACAGGTCAACCCCTGAGTACTTCTCATTGTCAGTCACTGCCTGGTTATTGCTTTCCATCCCCAAGGAAAATGGCACCACTCTTCTACTCAGCTAGCAGACTTTCAGCACAGAAAATTGTTCTCCATTTTATAAAGTGATAGAGAGAAGGGAATAAGGTATAAGTTTGGCTTTAACTGCACCCAAAGTATGTGCGATTTCTACACAGCCCTGGTGTTTGGGAGGTGGAGAGTAAAGATGAAAAAGATAACATTGAAACTGAATTCAAATGTAAATCTAGTGCTGTATCAAACCTGGCCTTCCAGTTTCACAAAATATTTCTTCCCCATGAAAGTGGTTTATAAAATTCCTTTTACCTTTAAAGAAACCATTTGTGCACCTAATTATGAACCAGAAGAATTTGTTAATGTCCAGGATGGAATGGGGACTACATTGGCGCCCGGGGTGATTTTCAATTTAATAGTAGATGTCCAGGATTTTCTGTGTAAGCAGAAGCAGTGATTTTCTCCCAGATGTTGTCTTCTTTTTGCACTTTCCTTTTCTTTACACTTCAAGTAAAGAAAGAATTCTACTGGGTCACAAATAATTAAATACATCCACCTCTGGGCACTCCTCAGTCTCAATCACATTCGGAGGGCAAAGTGTTCTCAAAATGTTCTATCTCAAATTTGAAGCTCATGCTTCTCAAATGAATGGAACCTATTTATTACTTCATTTGATATTGTTTATTTCATTTCTGAATTGCTTTACATGAGGCTAAGGATGAAAAAAGGCTTTGTTTTCCATTCTACCCTGTATATATCACATGCAACACAGATTTTGTTCTGTTCTGCTGAAGTTTATCTTCCACCAAAAACTAATCTATTCATGTGACTGTCCACTGAGATGAATTTATGTATGTATCCATTGCATTGTTTCATGCAATTAATTTCAGTGCACAAGAAACACAATAAAAATGGGAGGGAAGTTAAATAAATCATTTGTCATTTGCAGCTTGTATGCAACTGGAACCTGAAGGGCCCTGCCCTGCTTCTCTCCACCTGGCTTGGGGCGGGGCCTGACAGGCTCCATCAAGGAGTGCTGCTGCTGCTGCTGCTGGACAGAGAGGGCTCCGTTTTTGTTTGGTTGTTTTTTTAAAAAAATGGCTTTTATGTTTTATCTATGTCATTTTAAATTGTGATTGATATTAATGCTATATTCTTAGTTTTAGATTTTATGATTGAAATTGCTTTCCATTTGGTTATGTACTTTTTGAAGTGTTTTATTTATTGTTTATGACTTTTGTTACGCTGGTAATTGTGTAAATCTTGTCATGTTGTAAGCCGCCTTGAGCGTTGCTTTAACTATGGAAAGGCAGCATACAAATAAAATGATAATGATGATGATGATGTTCCTGGGATTGATTTCCTGTCTGGACATAGAAGGAATGAGTAAACAGTGGTAACTTCTGCTCCCATTTCTGTTTTTAGAAGAATTGCAATTGAACTTATCGTCATGAGACATGTAAAGAGCTAAGACACCGACACCTAAAAGAACAATTTAAAAGCAATAAAACACATTATTTCAACTTTTTCATTCCTTCGGAAAATGTTTCTTACACATCAAACTTATGCAGGCATCTTAGAATACATAAATGTTTATGTAAAATCTAATTTCTGATTTTAATTTTTATATGTTTCCTATTGTATCATTTAATGTATAATTTTTGTAAAGGGATGCAACTTTTTAATGAACATTTGTTTTTTATACACACACACACTAACACACACACACTGCTAAATCTCAGTGCTTCATTCCTCTGAAAATAAGACCCACTTGAACAAAAAGGTTTGCTGTTCTGAATAGAAATACATAGGTTAGAATGAGAATGTGTCAGATATTTTCCTATTGGAATCAATGGGACGTTGAAAGTCACAACTAATTTGTCTCATGGATTTTAATAAGAACTAACTGTAATCTTCATGGCTGAGTTGGGATTTGAACCTTAGTCTCCCAGCAAGAGCTGGACCATAAAGAAGGCTGATCGCCGAAGAACTGATGCTTTTGAATTATGGTGCTGGAGGAGACTCTTGAGAGTCCCATGGACTGCAAGAAGATAAGTTTGATCCATTCTTAAGGAAATCAGCCATGAGTGCTCACTGGAAGGGCAGATCGTGAAGCTGAGGTTCCAATACTTTGGCCACCTCATGAGAAGAGACGACTCCCTGGAAAAGACCCTGATGTTGGGAAAGATTGAGGGCACAAGAAGAAGGGGACGACAGAGGACGAGATGGCTGGGCAGTGTTCTCGAAGCTAGAAACATGAGTCTGACCAAACTGCGGGAGGCAGTGGAAGACAGGAGTGCCTGGCGTGCTCTGGTCCATGGGGTCACGAAGAGTCGGACACGACTAAACGACTAAACAACAACAACTGTAAGGAAATTATGGTGTACTCAAGATGACTGAAGGAATCCAACACGATGTCCTGATGTTACAGGCATGAAGTCGCAAAGAGCCGAGTGTGGAGTGAAACTGCCCTCTAAAAAATGTAGGTTTTTTGGGGGGGTGGGGGGAAATGTCTTGGTACCTAGGACTTGGTTCATATGGTGCGGTCCTACAAATGAACACCAGAAGCTGTTTTATGCAGAGTCATACTATTAGTTAATCTAGCTCAGTATAATAAACAGTAATGGGTAGCAGTTTCCCAGAGTTTCTAGCACAGCGACATTCCCAGACCTAGCTGAAGATGTCAACTCTTGGACCTAGGATCACCTAGAAGAAAAACAGATGATCCACCAAACTGTTGCAGAGCAGCAGCCCACCCACAACTGTCTACTAAGAGGTAAGCCCCACAGAGTTCAATGGAACTTATTTCCTGATAAGTGTAAGATTGTCACACACATTCTCTATTATGATATGTTGATTCCACACACTGTAGAATTTACACTTGAATTCATTTGCAGTGTGGTGCCGAAATTCTACCAGCACACCCTTGCCTTGGCATTTGCTATAAAAGAGATAAATGAAAGCCCCAAGATCTTGCCCAATCTCACCCTTGGATTCCACATCTATGATAGTTATTACAATGCAAGGATGACGTATCGGACAACTCTGGACCTACTTTTCAAATCGAATAGATTTATCCCCAACTATACATGTGACATGGAGAAAAACCTCATAGCCATCATTGGAGGACTTAGCTCTGATACCTCCTTCTATATGGCTGACACCATAGGCCTCTACAAGATTCCTCAGGTAGCAGCTTTGAATGGGAACAGGGATGTGGATTTTCACAATGTACACTCTTCCATTGCTTATAATCCAGATTGGCCATGAAGCTCAATTGGAAAACATCTTTGAAACATCAACTGGTGCAAAATGCAGGAGTAATGTTGTTAGTTGGGATTCAATTTAGAATGATACTACTACTACTACTAGTAATAAATTTTTATTTATACCCCAGCCTCCCAAGCCAAGACTGGGCTCAGGGCAGCTAACACAAGGTATAAAAACTATTGATTGAAATACAACTTAAAAACAAGATTAAAATACAACATTAAAATGCAGCCTCATTTCAGTAGGAACTCAAATCAAAAATCTTTTTGGGGATGAAAATGTCAAGTCTTCACCAAGGCCAATAGTAATTATAATGATGAGAATGACAATGAAAAGAATAATAGACCTTCAGAAAAAGACTGTAAACTGAGGAACTAGTTTTACAAGCCAGTACTGAAATTTCAGAAGATTTATAGTATGAGGGATGAAGAAAAATTACCAGAATTTTTTATTTAAAAAATCACAGTAACTCTAGAAAACTTAGCTGGAACAGGAAAGTTGTGACTTACATTTGTTGAAGGAATAGGCACATGCTGAAAATGAAGGCTTATCTTAATGTTAACTCCACCATGCCTGTACACTTCCTTTTAGCTCACATATGGATGTTTTCCCCCAGAGGAGAGTGATGCAGATCAGTTCCCTTCCTTTTTCCGCATGGTACCCAATGACAGCCATCAATATATGGGGATCATCAGCTTACTAAAGCATTTTGGATGGAAATGGGTTGGACTTTTCGTTGTGGAAGGTGACAGTGGAGAAAAATTCTTGCAGACCCTGGAACCATTCCTTTCCGAGCATGGAATCTGTTCAGCCTTCACACAAAAAATACCACAAGTAGCCCATTTAGATAATATGAGTGTAACAATTGGTGCATTCTTCAATATTTTTCTGTCTTTAACAGATGATAAAGTCAATGCATGTGTAATCTTTGGAGAATCTTTAGCTCTTGCATGGATAAGAATTGTTATATTTCTACGAGATCCTGAAAATAAGGAAAGTTCATCATTTAGGAAGGTTTGGATCATAACCACGCAGATTGATGTCGTATTAATTGGTATTCAAAGGTTTTTGGATTTTGAGCTCTTTCAAGGATCCATTTTCTTCACAATTCACTCAGAACAGATTCTAGGGTTCAAGACGTTTCTTCAGAATATAAAGCCTGATAGAATAGACAGAGATGGTTTCCTCAAGGACGTCTGGGAGCAAGCATTTGACTGTACATTGCCAAACCCCAGTGTGCCTTTGGATAGTAACGAACATTGTACTGGGGAAGAGAGACTGAAGAGCCTTCCGGGGGCACTGTTTGAAATGGGCATGACTGGCCACAGCTACAGTATCTACAATGCTGTCTATGTTGTGGCTCATGCTTTGCATGCCATTGTCTCAACTACATTGAAGCAGAAGACTTTAATGGCAGATGGAAAGTTGGATCTTCAAGACTGGCAACCTCTGAAGGTAATATATGGAAATATATTCTTCTTAATTCAGTGGGTTGAATATTCCAAGGAGGGATTGTATCAACAAGTACCTGACAAAATGGCATTATACATTTATTCAATGAGAAAATTAGAATCATTTAGTCATAGAATTCTAGAGATGGAAGGTCCCCAAGGCTCATCTAGTCCAATCCCAGCATTGTAGGAATGTGTGTGGTTTATGTTTACATCATCTCATGCACATTTTGCCTGAAAATAAATTCGGTCTACAATAAATCCGTTATGGCAAGGCGCCAAGCCAAACCTGAGATCTGCTGGGATGAGGGTTTATTGGAATCCTTGGCTCTCCGTCTGATCCGTCTGATGTTTCCCATCCCAGCAATACTGAAGATACACTGATGTATGTCTTCCATCCCAGGTTAATTGTGTTTCAGCTGACTGAGTCAAGGATTTGATAGGTTGCAAAAAGGGGGTGTTAGGGGGAGGGCAGGGTGAAAATTATCCCAATTCTAAAACCTTTTCAGCTCATACGCATGACCCGTAAACCCAGCAAACCCATTCTGGGGGGAAGGGGTTGTATGAGCCAAACTCTGAATTAAAGGCCTTTTGCCCTCACCTAGGCTTGTACATCTAGCAATAGTTGTAAAATGGGGACTTTCCAAATCACAGCATTATGTTAAATTTCATATCAATTGTAACCCCTTTGTGTCTTGTTATGTTTCAATTAGCTGCAACCTTTCCTTCGTGGCATTATATTTAACAACTCTGCAGGAGAAACAGTGAGTTTCAATGGGAAAAAGGAAATGGAAGGTGTATTTGACATAATGAACATTGTCACATTCCCAAACAAGTCTTTCCTTCGAGTGAAAGTTGGACAGGTGGACAATGACGCTCTTGAAGCAAGAAGAATCATCATTAATGAGGACATGATTAAATGGCACAAGGGTTTCAACCAGGTATGTGTCCTGGAGTGTTATTATGAGCCCTGCAAGCTCTGTCCCAATGGAAAGAGTCCAAAGCTCATCTGAATAACAAAATAGTTGAAATGTAATGGCCCCATGTTCAGTCCTCTGCATCTCCAAGTAGGGCTTGAAAATAACAATAGTCTGTAGTCATAAAGGGCAATTTCTTTTGCATTTTCTTAGGGATTTCCCCTCTACTTTTGTAATATAGGTTTATAGTTAAAGTTTCTTGAAAGTGTTTATTTCCCATTCCTGGGCAAAAATTAAATAAATGAAGAAATTACATAATATTTTTCTGTAGGGGCATTTCTCCTATCTGAATTTTCTTTCCCATTATGAATAGGTGGTACCTATTTCTCTCTGCAATAACTGCTGTCCCCCTGGTCATCAGAAGAAAAGGAAGGAAGGGGAGAAATTTTGCTGCTATGATTGTGCTCCATGTCCAGAAGGGAAGATTTCAGACCAGAAGGGTTTGTGACATAGAATTCATTTCTATTTTCATCGGAGAGATTGTTTGTTGCTGAAGATATACAGTACTTAGTAGATGAATGTTAATGCTCCTGATGGTGGTCTTGATGATGATCATGAAGATTTTGACAAATTTCTGCCTTTAAGAGGTGAAATCAAAGTGTGATTATGAGTAGTAGGTGCTGGGTCTGAGAGTTAAGTTTCTCCTTAATTCCCTCTGCAACATTTGCTATGTTTGGGAGGAAAGTTAAGCCCCCTCTGTATCAACAGTGAGAAGTTTCACATAAGCTTAAAGTTGTATGGCTAGAGACACAGGTAGTTCAAGATAGGCAATAGTGAGGTGGTGATATATCAGGGCTTGATTGACTACTAGTCAATCTCTAAAAGGCATCACATAAGGAAAATTATGCCTCTGCAGTAATCTAACCTAGACATTTCCAGAGCATAGAGAACAGACGTTAGGCTATCCCTGTCCAGATGGAGCCATAAGCCAAAGCTTAGGCAGTGTAAGCCAGCCAAGAGCAGGCAGTCTCTCATCAATCTCTGGTCTAGGGAACTGCCCACTAACAATACATCAGTCTTATTTTGCTTCATTTTGTAAGATAAGTATAATAATTAATAAAAGAATTAGGTATGTGGTCACAGCCAGCCAAAAGAGGTTCAGAAGTTGGATCATCTGTTCCACAATACCATACAATAAGCCTAATCATAAAATTGTAGAGTTGGAAGGGACCCCCAAAAGTCATCTAGTCCAACCACCTGCAATGCAGAAATATCAGCTAAGGCATGCATTACATATGACCATCCAACTTCTGCCTAAAACCTCCAAAGGAGAGTCCACAGCCATTTGAGGGAAATTGTTCCCCTTTCGAAAAGCTCTCAGAAAGTTTTTATGTATGTTTAGTCGGAATCTACTTTCTTCTTTCCTAAGAATAATTGTTATACAGTAAGCCAACAAGTTATGTGAGTTACATGCTGGGGAATCACACCTAAAACAAAAAATGGTGTGTGGTTAATACACATTGGGTTCCATGGTGGGAGGCATTGCCAAAGCCTTTATTCCCAGACGCACTCTCCCTTTCCTCCTATTTTATTTATTTTATTATTTATTAATTTGCTTGCCAAGCGAGTAAAGCTGAATGCACACAACTTAAATGTGTTTGGGGCTTATTGCAATACTAAAGTGCATTTTTTATTTTATCCCAGGTCATTAAGAATGTTCAGGTTGAACTCCCAAAATGGTCATATGGGAGACAGAGGATGAATATGAATTACATTTGGAATTTGACCTGTTTCTGTTTTTCAGATATAGATGATTGTTTCAGATGCCCAGAAGACCAATATCCAAACATGGACAAACATGGTTGCATCTCCAAAACTATAACCTTTCTTTCTTATGAAGAACCACTGGGGATCAGCTTAGCCTCAATAGCACTTTCTTTCTCCATTGTCACAACTTTAGTGTTATTAGCTTTTGTGAAGCACAGAGATACACCCATTGTCAAAGCCAACAACCGAGATCTCACCTACACTCTCCTCATCTCTCTTCTGCTCTGCTTTCAATCTTCTTTGCTATTCATTGGGAAACCAGGGGAAATGGCCTGCTTCCTCAGACAACCGACTTTTGGCATCATCTTCTCTGTGGCTGTTTCTTGTGTGCTGGCAAAAACCATTACCGTAGTTGTAGCTTTCATGGCCACCAAACCAGGGTCCAGCCTGAGGAAGTGGGTGGGGAAAAGACTGGCCAACTCCATAGTCCTTTCCTGCTCTTTGACTCAAGCAAGTCTGTGTACTCTCTGGTTGGCAACTTCACCCCCATTCCCAGAATTAGACATGCACTCACTAATGGAAGAAATCACTGTGCAATGTAATGAAGGGTCGGTGAACTTGTTTTCTTGTGTCCTGGGCTACATGGGCCTCCTGGCTTTCTTCAGCTTCCTGTCAGCATTCCTGGCCCGCAAATTACCTGACACTTTCAATGAAGCCAAGTTCATTACTTTCAGTATGTTGCTGTTTTGCAGTGTTTGGCTGTGCTTTGTCCCTACCTATCTGAGCACCAAAGGGAAATACATGGTGATGGTGGAGATCTTCTCCATCTTGGCCTCCAGTGCTGGCTTACTGGGCTGCATCTTTGCCCCGAAATGCTATATTATCATGCTGAGGCCCGAGCTCAACAACAAAGAACAACTAATAAGGAGAAAGAATTAATGTATCACATAGTTTTGCCACCATTATATTATAAATGAAGGGTAAGGTTTATGCACAGGTCATTTATACTATTTACACAAGTTCAATTAAAATGATTTACATGTCTCCTCACACAGTTTCTATTGCTTCTCCAAATCCTGCTTATTCCCCTCACCTCATATCTCTCAGCTAACTGCCACCATCCCTGTGAAAGATAGGACCTATTTAAATATGCTAATTAGAGCAGAGCAGCTGTTTTCTATGAAATGAGGGCTTGGTACACTAATGTCTAATAAAGCTTCCATTTACTTAGCATACGGTTTGAATCCCCTCAACGGGATTCCTGCTCCTGCCAACCTAGCAGTTTGAAAGCACGCCAAAAACTGCAAGAAGAAAATAGGTACCACTCAGGCGGGAAGATAAACGGCATTTCCATGCGCTGCTCTGGTTTTGGTGTTCCGTTGCACCAGAAGCGGCTTAGTCATGCTGGCCACATGACCCAGAAAAACTGTCTGTGGACAAATGCTGGCTCCCTTGGCCTTTAAAGCAAGATGAGCGCTGCAACCCCAGAGTCATCTGCAACTGGACTTAACTGTCAGGGGTCCTTTACCTTTACCTTTTTTATATGAAAACAGTAAACAAAATAATATAAACTGAAAATGATGAAAAAGAAAGGAAAAAGAAAGAAGGAAGCAGAGGAAAGCTGAGCTCCACAGCAGATCAACAGAGAAGCGGTGCCTGGCAAGAGTTTTCTAAACAGGAATGTGTTCTGATGATTTGCTGTATTGAGTCAAGCTACAGCTTACATTGAGATGATTCCCTCCATTTCTTTGCTCCCTTTGGTTTATCGAGACCTTGTTTAGAACTGACAAAACATTCTAGTACCAAATTACAGATTCACAGGACAATTCATATATGAGGAATTCTTGCTCAGAGGAAGAGAAATACTTGTAGTGCTACAAACTTGAAGTGCAATTTATTATCTTGAAAATGATAGAGAGTGGCCCTCAACACTACTATGGAACACTGTTATACCTGAATATGACACTAGCATGACAACCCAAATTTATTTTGTGATATGTTCTTTGTTTTTAACTTGCAACATATCATGACTATACAAATTAATTAGAGCTAGTCTTGGAGTAATGGGGTCTGTTTACTTTATAATTAAAGATATTTCTGTAAATACATTTCCTAAAACCTTTCTATTTTTTTGTCATGCCCATCACTTGTGTTGATATGCCCCTAATATAGGTCCCTACCAAACATGTTGGTTACCAAAAGTTTCACTCTGAGTTAAATTCCTCTAGGAATTAGCTACATAATTATAGTTGGTTCACTTGGTTAAAGCTCAAGAGAATTTCTGGTAGGCACTTGAAAAGAGTCAATAATCCACCCTGGAAGTGGTTATAATAAATTACTCTTTTTCCACAGACAGCTGGCCATAGGGGCAAGAGGCAGGCAGAACCATGTCGCTTTTATTGATGATCTTTCCCCTTCTTCATATTATTGGCCAGACTTTAAATGAGTGTTGACAATCTATTCATCAAGGCATGCATATGTCAGACTTCTAAAATGGAGCTCACAAATCACTCTTTTAGGGTTACCACTATTTCTATTGGCAGAGCAGGGCATCATCAAAACCAGCCAATTCCTCTTAAAAGAAACCTAGGTAGAAAGCACAAACTATAAAACAACTGAAATACCTGAAAACAAATAAAAATAATTTAAGTATACTTGCAGACTGGGAAACATCTCATCTTAAGGGGCTTGTTGCAAGAGGATAAAAGCTACACTGCAAGGATGTTGTGGCTATTGTTGTTCCTATTTCTGCAAATGCCCGTTGTGTGCAGAGCAGGTGCATTCAGGTGTCCAATGAGATATCCGTTTCCTATTCCGATTAGACAGTACCAACCAGGGGGCTTCATCATTGGTGGAATTACTTCTCAGATATTTCATGTATTCTATGAAGTTTTCTTCAGAGAACACCCTTCACAGAATCTGTTTGACGTTTCATAGTAAGAGAGTCTCCTCTCTACCCTACATCTCTCTGAAATCTCTTTCCTTTTGTGCTATGTTCTTAACGGTTATGTTCTTGGTGGTTGCGACTGTGCATTGACATATATAAACTGCTGGGCTAGATTTTTAATATTTGCTTTTTTTCTATTATATTTTAACGTTTTAATTTGGAATGCCATCAAAATCAAACTGTGATTCAATAAAATACATAGAACATAAAAAGTAAATAAACCAATAGGATACAATTAAAAATCAATATGAATTTTTAATGTAAACATGCTGTGGACCACCCTGAATGAATCTTGTGGATCACTGGAAACCTAGATTTAAACGCTTGACAGAAAAAAATTCACATGTTACAGTAAAGTGCATACAAAAATACACCATGTAAGAGAATTTTGCAAAAAGTGGATATACAGAAATATGTATATTAGGAAAAAATTCATTCAGCAAGTGTACATTGGGCTGGAGCCTTATGTGCAATGGGGCCTTATGCTTTGTGGTTGTTTTTTTAAAAAAAGTCTGATTTGAAAATGTGAAGAACTGAAATTCAGCTTGGAAATATAAGAAACCAAGATAAAACGAAATTTGCAGAATCATCCATACATAGTCATATACCTTCAACACATCCACATCTGCCCACTTAGAGAGAAGTCCCATTGATTTCAGCTGAGGCTATTTCAAGGTAACTGGCCTCCACAACAGGTCTGGAGGGTGGTAACAGGAGAAAGGGCCTTTTCTGCAGTGGCTCCCTGTCTGTGGGGTGCTCTGTCCAGGGAGGTTTGCCTGGTACCTTCATTATAAACCTTTAGGCACCACAGAAAAATGTTCCTCTTTAACCAGGCCTTTGTTTGTTTGATTTCCTATTTCCTTTTCAAATGTGTTTGTGTGGGGGGGGCGGGGCGGGGGGTATTGTGTTTTCTATGATTTGAAAAAAGTTGAAGAAGAGATGAAAGATGGATGTGTCAAAGTTCCATGCAGTACATAGGTGCCCTGATGAATCACTGTGTGTTCTCTATTAACTTAGAAATATGAATTAAAACTAGAATATCTTCATTTCAGTCAAAATCTATTTGAGACAGAAATAGTCCAAATTGCTGTAAATTGATTTTATGCATTGTAGAATTCTTCACTGAAACTGTAAATTAATCAGCTTCTTCTTCTTCTTCTTCTTCTTCTTCTTCTTCTTCTTCTTCTTCTTCTTCTTCTCCTCCTCCTTCTCCTTCTTCTTCTTCTTCTTCTTTTTTTTTTTTGCAGTATGGTAATAAAATTCTACCAGCACCTCTTTGCCTTGGCATTTGCTGTGAAGGAGATCAACGAGAACCCCACAATCTTGCCCAATATCACTCTTGGGTTCCACATCTATGATAGCTATCATGAAGCAAGAGCGACCTACCGTGCCACATTAGACCTGCTCTTCAAATCAGATAGACTTGTGCCCAACTATAAATGTGACACCCAGAAAACCCTCATAGCCATCATTGGGGGACTTAGCTATGATACTTCCTTCCATATAAGAGACAATATAGGTCTCTACAAGATTCCACAGGTAAGATCTATGAACAGCAGGGGGACATAGTTATTTAGGGGGTGAATAGACTCCTGATCTTCCTTGTGGACCCATATCATGAAAGAAGGATGATAAAAACAAAATAGTTAGGAAAGGCTATTGCTAACTACCTAGCAGTTAGTTCCTGCAGTGGAAAATTGAAGAAGCAGAGCAAGCACAATAATTTGAATGTTTCAAGGGGCAAAGGGTGGGTAGCTAGAAACAACCCTCCCATGGTGTTATTATTGCTGTGATTCCAAGCTTGATAAAGTGTGGATAATTAATAATTAGTTCATTAAGCAATATATAAATTCCCATAAAAGGCCTCATATAATTGATGAAATGTTTTTTAAAAAATATTGAACATATTGACATAGCTGTAGAGAATTAAAGTCATTGCTCATTATGCGTTTCTATAATACAAGTGCAATTTCTTTTAGTTCACTTATGGTTCATTTCCCACTGAGGATGAGAGTGATGAAAGTCATATCTCTTCTTTCTACCGCATGGTTCCTAATGAAGCCCATCAATACATGGGGATCATCAGCTTGCTTAAGCATTTTGGATGGACATGGGTTGGACTCTTTGTTGTCGATGATGAAGGTGGACAAAATTTCTTGCAGACCATGGAACCATTGTTATCCAAAAACGGAATCTGTTTTGCCTTCACACAAAGACTCCCGAAACTACCCCGTTATGATAACTTAGCTGAAGTTTATGGTGTACTAATAAATAGTTATGTGGAAGTCACAGATGACAAAGCCAACACATTTCTCATCTATGGAGAATCTATGACACTCATATGGCTAACAGCTATTTTCTTTCTACAAGATACTGAAATAAATGACATTGCATCAGTTACAAAAGTTTGGATCATAACAACTCAGATTGATTTCATATTGTTGAGGTTGCAAAGGAGTTGGGATCTTGGTCTCTTCCAAGGTGCCATTTGCTTCACAATTCACTCAAAAAAGGTTCCAGGGTTCCAGGAGTTTCTTCAGAGCATAAAACATGATGGGATAAAAGGAAATGGTTTTCTGAAGGACTTCTGGGAGCAAGCATTTGACTGTGATTTTCCAAAATCCACTATGCCAATGGACACAAGTGAACAATGTACTGGAGAGGAGAGACTGGAGAGCCTTCCTGATCCGATCTTTGAAATGGGCATGACCGGCCACAGCTACAGTATCTACAATGCTGTCCATGTGGTGGCTCATGCTTTACATGACATTTCTTTAAAGAGATCCAAGCACAGTGAAATGCTGTGTCATAAAATAAAGGACCTTCAAGATCTGCAGCCTTGGCAGGTAATGTGCTAAAAATAGGTCCAGATTCTCATGTGAAACTAATTGTATAAAATGCTACTGTGGATTTTATTCCTTTGACATTACTCTTCTACACATTCTGGCCTGAAAAAGCATTTAGGTTTTTATCACTTATTGCAAAAGTGCTG